TTTATGATATTTTATGATACCATTTATATTTAATAGAACAAACTCTTATTGTTAGCAGATTAAACGTGGAGTGATGATCAAAACCTATACATTCAATTTATCATGTTTAAATAGATAAATCTGCTAAGAGTTGTTATATTTAATATACATGGTGTCAGAAAATTACGTTGTATTCATTATACTTCTTTTGATAATAATTATTTAATAAAGAATTTGTCTTGTGATAAAAAACAAGCCAAAAGTTTATTTGCAAAGATCAAGGGCGCTGTACTGTTTTAAATACAATTTGTTCTATCTAAACATTTATTTCGTTATTTTAAACTTTTCAGATTCCTTCGGAAAATGACATACTGAATTTATTTATCGTCGAAACACAACGGAAATCCTTTGTCTTTAATACTGCTTCTAATGCAAATAAAAAGAATGCACTTATTCATTCTCTAGATCATATAAAATGTAAGTTAGGAAAGTATAAGTAAAAGTCTACAAATGATTAAAGTAAATGTAATTAAATAATACTGTTGAATAATACGTAAATTTTTAAATTTTACAAAAAAATATAAAAAACTTATACACTATTTAAAATACAATGTACTGAAACATAAGTAAATTTTAATATAAAAGAAATATATCTTAATTTTTAAAAAATATGTATTTCAAAGTACTTATAAGCATATTATAATTTTAATTGTTTCAGCAACCAATGTATGGCGCATCTTATACCATTTGATAACTGCTGATGTGTTTTGGACTGGTATCTGCACATATGTTACTAACAAACAGTAAGTAATATCTTTTATATCTTTTGCTAGATGATAATTATATAAATCGAATATTAAAGAAAAGTGACGTATTTAAAATATCTAAAATATCTAAAAGGATAAATATAAACTGCTTCAAACCTATCGAGTTATCTTAAATCCACAAAGCTGTAAGCAACATAACGTTGAGTTTTCAAGAAAAATCGCCAAAACCGATATATATTTTGTTTTTAGAAATTATTCCTTACAATTAGTTAAAAACTCAAGATAAAAATTTATATTATAATTATATTAATAATATAATAATGCCAATGTCTTTTAGTGTACAGCATTTATAAAGAACTAGATAGATATAATTCAATTTCTTATTTTTAAAGTAAAATTTATGTGTGCTAATTTAAATTAATTTACATATCGATAAGTCGCCCACTGTTGAATATGTCAGTTTTCGGTACACCTTAATAAAATTCTTCAAATCGTACCATGAAGAAAACAATAAAAGTGAAAGTATAAGTATAATACTTTTAGAAAACATGTAGAATAATTTAATATTACCAAAACTGATAATTATTGTTATTTAAATTACATAATTCTGCAAAAGTCATAAAAACAAAGATTTCAAACTTAAAGATTTTGATACAAGCTGATTTAGTATATAAATAAATAGGAACTATACAAAATATGGATTTTAATGAATTAACTAATCGAACAAATCACGTTTATATTATTTATACGTATCAGTTTTGATAAAACGTAACATTTAAATTCTGAAAAAATGTCATTTTAGAAGGCTCTATGTCAATTTTGATGCGTGCTTCTTCCTCTCTCTCTCTCTCTC